CCAAGTGAAATGAGGGATGTACAGATGTGGGGCTGGGGGGAGGCAGGCGCGGAAAGGGAGCAGCAAGGACAAAGGGCTTCAGACAAGAACAAAGAGTAAAAAGCCATTTGTGTCTAGAAGAAAGCAAGCAAGGATCGAATGGAAAACAATAAGGTGGCAGAAGGAGCCTAGGAGAAGGTGGATCGGTGGGGCCTTCCACAGTAGGGACCTGGAGTTGTGTCCTGACGGCATTGAAAAGCTAGAGGAGGGATTTAGTGACATCATCTGATTTGCCTTTAAAAACAATACTCTAGCCATTGTAGGGAGAGCTGACTGTAAGGGACACATGGGGGAAAACCAAAAATCTCACTGCCATCCAGTCAATTCTGACTCACGGCGACCCTAACAGGGCAGGGCAGAACTGGCCCGGTAGGTTTCTAAGACCGTCACTCTTACCAGGAATAGAAAGCTTCGTTTTTCTTCCGTGAAAGTGTGGCAAGCAGATGAGAGCTTGAACCAGGGCTGATGTAAAGGAGGAGAGGTGTGATCACACTCAAGATACATTTTGAAGGCAGGATTTACAAATGGATTACGAACCGACATGGGAGTGCATTAAAAGAGGGATGAGGAGTAAGTCTTACGGCTCTCACATTGATTGTGGAAATGATTGTACAGCTCTTGACACGATGACACTATTGAATTGTACGACATGCATGTGGACTATGTCCCAATAAAACGGAAAAGCTAAACTAAATCCTATGATGTTGAGAAATGGGGTCAGGGCTAGGGCGAGTGATGGAGATGGGGAAGACCAAATAGGGAGTGCATTTATCAGAGGGAATCCAGAGTTGTGGTTTGGACCTGCTAAATTTGAGGTGCTGTCCATATAAATGAGGGAAATGTGGCGCCATGGGTTGCTAGCAGTTCAAACCCACCAGGTGCTTCACGGGAGCTGTCTGCTCCCTGAAGAGGGATGGTCTTGGGAACCCACAGGGGCAGTTGTATTCTGCCCTATCAGGTTGCTGTGAATTGGAATTGACTCATTGGCGTGCTTATGTGGATGCGCCCTGGTGGCTTGTGGGTTAAGCACCGTGGCTGCTAACCACACGGTTGGCCTCCAGGGCCACAGACAGCCTGGGAAACTCCATTCTAGGGCCACTCTGCATCAGAATCGACTCGATGGCAATAGGTTTTTTGTTTTTACTTCGGTTTGGTTTAGGAGCCCTATACCGACCCCTGGTGGCCTAGTGGTGACCAGTTGCCACTCATTGAATGGTCCACGGAGTCCACCAGCTGCTCCGCTGCGGGGAAAGATGTGGCGGTCTGCGTCCACAAAGATTTCCAACCTGGGAAATCCTGCGGCGGCGCAGTCCTCTAGCGTCACTAAGAACTAGTACTGGCTCGGTGGCAATGCGTTGCTTTTTCTTTTCTTTTTACTAATGTCTACTTTAGTTAGTTATTGACCATGGGGGGCACTGCAGGTGCTTCTGAAATGTGAGAGCAGGGTTTGGTGAAGCCTCGGAGGTATCTTACTCTTGAGAAGATTCAGAAATGAAGCCAGAACTACTGAGACTAATTATGGCCTCTTGCCCGTGACTTCCTCCGGACCGTGCCAGCTGCACAGGCAGCCTCAGGCTGGTTCCTGGGTCATCGGAGAAGCGGATCGTGTGGTGAATCATGCACGGAGGCCGGAGAAAGGGGGAGAAGGAAGGGCTTTGGGTTTTTTCTCAGAACTTACCACGAGCAGGTCCTGTACCAGGTGGCCAGGAAGGAAAGTAGGAAAGGAAAGATGGGTCACGGAATTGATTAGAACTTATGACTGATTTTCTTACCAAGAAGAGATCGATCCTGCAGCCACCCTGTCTATCTTGGGAACGATGGTTGTAAAATTCCCTAACAAGATATAGGGGACCCAGAAAACCAACAAACGATTGCCTAAGAATCCCAAGTATTGTTGCGAAGTTTGGATGTAGGACAAGAAAAATGTTTTCCCCTAAGAGAACATTTTAACTACAAATACTTCAAAAGCAGGGATATTCTCCTCCAAAGGGTATCATGTGGAGAGGGAGGGAGGAGCTGGGATTATGTGAAGCGATGGAGGCAGGAGCCCTTTCTCTCTCGTTTCCCACGGGCAAGTTCAAGGTGCAGGCCGAATATGGCAGGCTATATTGTGTTTTTCTTCCCTTGTTCTTCCCTAAACCTATGAGTAGCCTGAACCAATGGACTCAACCTTAGTAATTTTCTTTTCTTTATTTTTGTTTAACCTTAGTACTTTTCTAAACAGTTTTCTGAAGCTCCATCTCCCAGATTAATTTAATCTGTCCTTCTATACTTTCGGGGTACAGAAGAGGTCCCTAATGAAAGATAATTTAAGGAGAGAACATTTATTAAGTCAAACAGGACACAGAAAAGACAAAGATGAGGGAGACATTTACAGGGTTGTAATGGCATCCAGGGATTTATAGTCATGCAGCTAATGAATGAATGAATGCATAGAACATAAAGGGAACTGTCACAAATTCTCAATTTCCCCTAGATCAATGCTTCGCAGTTCCAGATGGGACTACAGAAGCAGGAATGGGACCATGATTGGGATGCATCCGTTATGTTAGGTAACAGAGTTGACCAGATTGGTTCAGGGCCTTCAGACCAAGGCAGCCAAAACATGACTCACTCCTGACTGTCCAGCTCCCAATATGGCAACCTCCACCATGGACACTCACAGGCAAGCCCCTAGCAGAGACTGGGGAGGGAAAGGAGGGTGTCCCCTTTCCAAAGCACTCTGCCTGAGGGCAAGACTGCTCACAGCCTTGGTCAACAGTCTGGAGAAATTCAATGGAGGCTTAGGCCACGTGCAGATTCTGCAAAGAGATTTTGGGCTTTCACCGTCATCCATCGCCTTCTGCCAATGGGGTGCTGAGAACGTGAGCTCTAATATGCTGCCGCACTATGGTACCTGTATTAGTCTGGGTACTTTGGAGAAACAAATCGACAGCAACTCATGTATAAGAGAGTTTTATGTAAAGAAAAGGTGCATCACGAAAACATCCCAACCCAATGCTGCCCAAGCCCACAAGTCCA